GTATCAAGAATTCTCAGTGGTCATGGTCCTGTTCTTATTCTCTCCTACAATGTTGCATCCACTGCTGATATTGAAGCCTTATAAACCAATATAAAGACTGCAGGGATTTTTTTTTCCCCCCACAGAGCAGACATAACCCTCATTTGTGTAATTTCTCACATAATAGGCAGATTAATGTGCCTTTTCTTGTGGACATCAACCGCGAACTCTGAAAAGCCTTTCTAATCAACGTATCCTCTTTTAGTAGTTCTATGGCCAATCATATCCATAGCTTCAAATCACCAAGTGCTCTGCTGCAGTTTGGCAAATTTTAAATTGCTTTCTGAAAGCTGACTCTACCCCTTCTGACCCTCAGCCTTTGAGATGAATGCAGGGACTATCGCTACTGTTCCAAGTCTTGAAGCTACGCAAGCAAAGTCTCCTTGCCTGCAAATGCTAAACTTCTATGGGATCTGCAACGCAGACAATCACTCCTTGCAGCTGCCACTGACATTGCTCTATCACAATACATAAGCCTTTAAGAGTTGTGAGGAATGCAAGAGCTTTTTTTCCCCTCAAGCAGAGGGGTAAGAGTACACCTAGCTCCTAGTGCCTGGTTCCTTAAAAAAAAAAAAATTGTACTGCTGATGAATAAGATACAGCTGAAAACCAAATAGCCTTTCCACTGTCATTAAGCTGGAGAGAATTGAACTAAAGGTAAGTATGTGCTAAAACTGCTCAGTTAACTGCAATATTTTTCAAAATCTCATCCAGGTATGACTTTGCATACAAAAATGGAAAACTGAGAGAAACAAAATGTATATGTTCCGAAACTTGCCTCAGTACTACATAGTCAACTCTCACTAAGATTAAGATTCTAGCAAAACTATAATATCAATGGGAGATTTTCAGATCTGAATGACAGAAGCCTATGTGCCAAAAGAACTGGAACAAAAAGATGGGGAATAATGGTTGTACTAAACAAGTAAGATCTTCTCTGCTCATCCCTTGTTTCGGTTTCTAGAAAGATCTGCCCTCTATGATGGGTATGTTACAGCTGCAGTAGGTCCCCTTAGTATTTCTGCTAAAAAGCAAGTACAAAATCCAGTTGACAGAAGCTATCATCTCTACTAAGAATTTTCAAATCTGTCACAGGAAAATAAAAAATTACCGAGAGGAGAGCACGATGAGTCTGATGACTACTTCCAAATGTAATATCTGGTTTCTTCAGTTACCCATCTAGTTTTAATGAGCACCTTATGAACAACTTCACTACCAGAAAATGAGGGAGCTTTTGGTTTCAGAGATAGCCACCAACATTATCTGTGGCCCTTTAAAATAAGGTTTATTTGTGGTACGTTCTCACTACTGTGGGAACGGAGTATAGAAAAGGTGGCTCATCAACAGTTTCAATCCTCTTATAGATATTAATCCATGAAACTGCAACACAATGCAAGCTTACAAAGTTACCATCTTCCTGGAGTGAAGATTCCATTTTCTTTTGTATGTCAAATAATACATGCTTCAGAGTTCTGTATGGCTTTTTGTGAGTTTCTCACAGGAAATTCCACTCACACACACCATACCTTATAAGCTTTTAAACAATTAGTGCAGGTAATTTACCATTAAGTTGCCACCCTAAACTCCTCAATGTTTGAAGCTTGCGGCTATTTAGCATGAAATAAAACCTCAGTGCTCTTCTTTGATAATGAAAGGTTAACTTCCCAACTGGAGAAGTTTCAGTCTGACTGTCCTTGCTTCACAGTAGGATAGCGACAGATTCCAGCAAAGAACAGAACAGAAAAATGCAGCCAAGTAAGGAAAACACTTTGGCCAAGCAAATCCATTAGGCAAACCTCAATGTCAGAAGCACAAACACTGGAATGGTAGAAGCCTGAGCTGCAAAGTTAAAGCCTAGCTACTTCTACAGGAATATTTTTTCCTCACATAGAAACCACCACAAAAGTCTTAGGAGGTAAAAAAAGTTGGTTGTTCAACAGCTTTACAGTGACAAGTCAGCCTTGCATCAATATAGTTGAAAAACTGTACTTGAGGCTACAAAGCACTAATATTCTAATTTACAGCATCCATATTGAAACTGAAGATGAAAGGAAACTCTGTAAATGTTATAAAATCTTACAATTAACAGTTAAATAATTTTCCGTCTTCATACACAACAATCAAGGGAAACATCCAATGCAGATGTTATTCTCTGTGTTACTATTACCATCAAGATGTTGCTACAGTCCAGATTAATGAAGTCAGAAGAGTAAATAATAACTATTTTGAGGACATCCGTTCCATTGTACTGCTCAAAATAAAAAGACTTCTTCACAGATCACTGGTTTCATGATCATTTCTTACTATACATGTTAAATAGTTAACAAGTTAACAGAACAACACATTCCCTAATAAAAGGATACAAATTTTGCACATGCATGTTTTAAACACTTGAATTTCAGTATCAGTTAAACAGAAAACACAGCCTAAAACTATTCGCTCACAAAAACCACAAAAAATACATATCTCTTCAGAGATAAAATACAAAGGAGCAGGGAAAAGAAAAAACACAAAACCCTGAGAAACACAAGAGCTACATTTACAGGAACACAGCCATTTACAAAATGCCTTTTTTTTAATGGTTGCCTTTCAAGCTGTGCCAACACTACAAGGAACATAAAAGATCTGCCTCCCTAGCAGATTTAGAAGAATAAGCAATTACTACATTAGAGAAAATAGGCTCAGAAATTTCCACCAATTGGTAACTGGCAGCAAGGCAACTCTTTATTTGCCAAACCCCACAAAGCCCTTGGGCACCAACCTCTACATATACCAGCAGTGAACAAAGAAAAGAGATCACTATTGCCTCAAACTGGGGTCAGCCCTTCACTTTCCGGAAAAAGAAACAAACAAACAGAAAAAACCCCAGAAGTCTCTATAATCCTAGACAAGCAGGAGGAGGCTTTTATTATCTGGGTGCTTGAAGCCATGGGTTTTCTGTCTGGGGCACTATATCCCATAACCACTAGATCATGATTACACTACAGCTGTGCAAGAAAAGGCTCCTTCCCAAAGCCTATGGAAAAGCAGACAGTTTTTCTTCCAAATGGCAGTTTTCTCCACATTTACGCACTGCTACTGCTGAAGCAGTTTGAACAGAGAGGCTTGAGAACACCTACATCTCCATCTGCAATCCAAGTTTGATTATTGCCTTTCCCATAGCAGGGCAGGAGGAGGTACTAAACAAATTAGAAATCTTTTGTTTTGGAGCTTGATCAACGGCTGGTTGTCCTCTCTGTGGACTGAGGACAGCCTCCATCCACCATGGCTGACAGTAATGTGCAAGCAACATACGTGAGACTTAACGTTAACTGATTTTTTTGATCGCTGATGCACTAATGCATCTTCCATATCAATGCAGACCAGTGAGTTTCTGCTGCAGTAACAATGCAACAGAAGAGGTGAATCGGAACCGAGAATCCCAGTTTTTGCAGTTTCCAGACTCTTTCCAAATCTGTTTCTACCTAATTTGCTTGAGAAGATTAGAATCATCTTAGCTGAGACAGTAATAGAAGACTTCATGCATAGAAGAGACTAATTGCTGTATAATAAATATCCTCAAAGCTACTTTATAGTGAATTAAATTAAACATGACTAAATCATATTTTGAGACTTTTAAAAACAAAAGAATATTCCAAGAAAGGCTTCTCTCTTAGTAAATCTTGTTAACAAATCTCATTAAAAAAATCAAACCTATTAACAGAACTAAAGAGCACATTATAGTGTCACCAAGTACTGAAAATCAAGAGCCTCCGTGATGCGTTTGCCTTGCTATATTTAATACCAAGAACAGAAGTTTTCAACTGTTTAACTATAAAAAGTATATCCATAGCACATAGAACATAACCAGAGAGACAGACCTCATATCAAGACAAACTGAATAAGTGCACTTGTTCTGGAATACATTTGCTAGCAACTTTCACCACAAAAAGGAGCTTTTTAAGTGGTCTACATGATTACAACCATTACAAATGCTTGACAATAAAAATTCCCAGATCTGCTTGAACACAACTGAAGCTCGTACAAGTAGCTCACGCAATATATAAGTATGCAGGTGTGCAAAAATACCCGTTGAATGGACAAGGATCCTAATATTTAGCCAACAATATAATAGTCTGGGTACCCGATACGGAACGTGATCTCCTTTGCAGCATGTGTTACTAAAGTCACAATGCCATCAAAATTCCCCATCAGTGGCAAATCAAAGTATCAAGTATTGGTGTCCTGTTCCACATAGGGCTGAGTCATTAACCTGACTGATCAACAGCAAATGTATTCCTGACGCTTTTACCTGGCGCAGCAGAACATTCTGTGGGCTGCTCTTCTCTATTTCTGGCTGGGAAGAAAAGACCTACCGCATCACTAATCCTGGCAGCATGGTTTTGCAGTGGTAAAACTAAAAGCAAAAGCAAGTAGCAAAGATATGACCACTCCCCCCAGAATTATCCATTTCAAATAAAATTCTTGACTTTAGACTCTGTCAGTTACTACCTCCAGAAAGACATTTCAGTACTTTCAACACTTAAAACAGCAATCTGTGGAAGTGAAATGGAAGGAGTATTCTTCTTATACCACTCAGCATCACGTATTATTCCGACAACATGACTCTGCTTCTAAAAACACATGTATTTTAACAAGTTTGCTTTCAAATGTTTCAAATAAACAGTATTACTTAATCAACAGGCACTTTGTTTAACAATGCAACTGAATTAGCACAGAATATTTTTTAATTTTTTCTTCACTTAGAATGTAAAGTGGTCAACTTCTTATGCATTACATGCTATTTTAATTTTTTGTAGATATTAATATTTTAATAGACTTTTTAAAAGCTGCAGTTTATTAAACTGTCCTTATTCAGAAGCAGGTCAAAACAGAGTAACAAGAATTCAAGTTAAGAAAATAAAGAAGCTTACTTAGATTAACTCATATTTATAGATGTTCACAGAAATTTATTTTCCTACCTGCTTTCCATCCAGTGTACAGAGTCTCTTGACTACACCCGAGTCTAACTTAATGGCTTCCGTGATGTCAGTCAAGACCTGTTCGAAGGAGTGCGCAGTCTTCTTATTCAGCAGAATTCTCACAGCTTTCCGTGGTTTTACTCCACTCCTAATAACTGTCACTAATTTGGGTTTAATGAAATCTTTACTCTCTTTCACTTCACTCTTTGTGGATGCCAAAGATGTCAAGGATCGAGTGGACCCAGTCCTTATGTTCACACACCAGTTTGGATTGACATTCTTGGTGTAATCAACTTTGCGATACGGTTCATTTGATGCACATACATAACTTTCACCTAAAAAGAAGATGACATTTTCATAATTTAAGGAGTTTTGCAGCTATTTTTTGTCAATTTAGAAAAAAAAAAAAAAAAAAACCACAAAAAACCAAAAATTCTTCAGGTAACATTTTAAATGGAGGACTCCAAATTATCAGAGCTTTCCACCCAAACGATACTCTCACAAAGTGGTTTCAACAGGTTTCAAAAGACCTCTGGCTAAGAAAAAATGGTAACAAGTAATGAGAGCGTTGAAGGTATTTCCCATTTCTTTTGGATCATAAGTTCTGACTGTTGCCTCATTTTGCAGGTCTTTAAACTACTTGAGCTCACAATATATGACATGAAGAACATTCTCCGACAGCAAATATCCAGGTCCTTCCCTATATATTCCTCAAGTACGTACCTCAAGATGTGCACACACATACCTATGTTTAATAATGAAGACTTGTAAAAAGCAGCAAGTTTGAACAGAATAAAATTCAAGCATCTCAAGATCCTTGTCCTGCAGGACACATGAATTTAACAGGAGTTATTGCCTTTCTACCAAGGATACACTGTTCAATGTAGTCACTTCCACATTTTTGAGACCAACAAATACCTGCTTAAGCCACAAATGAGACTCTGAGACTACAGCAATAAGAAAGGACATCTACAATTCCCTATTTTTATTTATTTCCTAATTCAAAGCCTTCACTGTGATAAAAGGGAAGTGAGAGGACAAAAAGTGTTATCATAGGCTAGTAATACATACCTTTACATCAAAGTATCTGAAGTGGCACCAGCCATGATGCAGACCTAGTGAATTTGTTACTTTTCTCCATTCCTTGACATAATGCGAAGCTGGAGACTAAATGGCTTTTTTTTAGAAGAGGACTCTGCCTTCTAATAGTTCCCCTGCTTAAAGCATGAATAAAATAATTTCTTGATTATCTGAATAGGCTGCAATATCTTTTTACTACAGATTTCCTATTATTATTTCTCCTCCTTTAAGCAGAGGCCCTTGTTTTCTTCTTTTGATAAAAACAAATATGAAGTACTTTCAACTTAATGAAATATCTTAAAAGAACAAATTTCAAATAACTTGTTTCAACTGCATTTAGCCAAGAAAATATTTAGGGGTATAACTCAAAAATGGCAGGGGTAAGTTAAATCACAACTATAAAGTTCACTACAGGAAACTCTCCTACAAAATGGTGTATTCCAAAACCATGCCTAAAAAAAATACCACCCCTTGATGAGCAGGCATTAATTTTTGAACACCATATTACTGTATAATTATTTTAGCCATCCTATGAAGTACAAAGTGCACTTCTATATGTCTGTTTGGCAGAAACATCAAATCATTTTTAGGAGTACCACTTCTCTTTTACATTCTATTTTGTAGGTAAAAAACCTGAAAGTGTAATGTTATATAAAATTTTTGCTCGCCACTTTAACGTATGTCCTGATTTTAAATCTGCTTGGGATTAATTCAAATAAGAATAGACACTTCTGATAATCTTCCCACTTTCCCAGAAAACCAGTATTTATAAAATGTAGCATACTGCACTTCATACTTTTTTTTGTTTACACCAGTCAAATCGATTTCAAGCATTGTTGACAAAGTAACAGGTAAGTTTACAGTTCAAATCACATACATAAATAAGCTTGACTTTTTCACTAACTGCCTCAAATTAGATTTTTCATGTGTCTAACCTAAATATCCATCATCCCAATTCCTAAAAAAACCTTTTCTGAGGCTTTGGTGACATTTTGATGAGGCTGTAGCTGTTTTTTGTCATTTCTACATGACCAGCCCTAGAAAATTGACAGAACTTCACAAACAGGCATAAACAATACTTCAAATATTTACATGGCTTACTTCAATACATTCAATTTTATGGTTTGAAGGCCCACTTTCCATTTACAGTCTTGAAAGTTTTTTAAAGCTAATGCGTACCAGCCTTAACTGGCAGACAGTCACAGCAGTTACATTACTGGGGAAAAAAAACCAAACACAACTGTATCTTTGTCTTACAACATTAACATGAATCATCTCCTTAGTTTTCAGACCAGATCATGAAGTTAGTCACTAATATTATATTAAGATTTGCAGGTAAAGAAGAGAACTATAGACTAATGAAGCAGAAAGACCTATTAAGCAATTCCTAATTATTTTTTTTTAATGTGGGAAAAAAAAATTGCAAGAATTACAGACGCCCATTACAGCTGGGACGCTGAACCAATTCTACAGCACAAAGACTAAACAGGCTGCAGAGCAGTTTTGGCAGAAGTATGAAACCTCCTTATAAGCTGGCATTATAATTTCAACAGAGCATATGTGCCATCCATCCAACACTTCGTGACAGTAGCCAGAGCCATCTAAAAGTGTCACTTCTTCCACAGAGAAATCCTGCTACCACCAAAAATTCCTCAAATGGGCCATATGCTCACTTAAAGACAGTAACATCTGCTGATATTCTGGGTCACAATATAATCGACAAATGGAGTAGGTTTCCTTCTGATTCTCTATGTCTTATTAACATCAGAAAAACAACGAGAAGACATGAAACATTTGCCTATTAACAAGGAAACAGAATCATAGAATGGTTAGAAGGGACCTCAGAGATCATCCAGTGCCACCCCCTGCCATGGGCAGGGACACCTCCCACTAGCCCAGGTTGCTCAAAGCCTCATCCAGCCTGACCTTGAACCCCTCCAGGGATGGGGCATCCACAGCTTCTCTGGGCAACCTGGGCCACTGCCTCACCCCCCGCACAGGAAAACATCTCTTCCTAATATCTCATCTCAATCTCCCCTCTTTCAATCCCCCCCATCTCTCCTGTAGCCCCCTTTCAGCACTGGAAGCTGCTCTAAGGTCTCCCTGGAGCCTTCTCTTCTCCAGGCTGCACACCCCCAACTCTCTCAGCCTGTCCTCGCACGGGAGCTGCTCCAGCCTCGGACCATCTCCATGGCCTCCTCTGGCCCCTCTCCAACAGGTCTGTGTCCTTCAGTTTCAGAGAGCTAACAATCTAAATATAACACTCCCCATTCCCTCACAAAGTAAATACAGATGATGAACACAGAGAACGGATAACAGAGAAAACAAGAGCACATTGGTCAATCTGACTGATAAATAAATACTGTTTGGTTGCTTGAAGACTCATCTACAAAGGTATTCTTTTGCCATCTGCTTCTTCAACACTGTTATTCACAGGAAATGTGTCTAGCTCACCTTTCAAGACATAAAAGCAGGGATAAAGAGAGTAGGGTGTATGTGAACTCTTCAAAATTCAGCCATGCAATTTTAGGTAAGGTTAGGGAAAAAAGGATGTACCTTGTCCTTTTGTAACACAAGCATACATCACTTGCAGCTACGTACAACACTGAGGAAACACAGTCGCCTGACAGTTCGGGGTTCTTCACAGCACAAATTCTGTGACTCGAAGCCCCAGTTAACAAATAGCCTAGAAACATTCATACTTTGTCTTCAAAACCAGAGACTACTGGAGAAAGACTTGTAGATATTTCATTTTCCTTAGCGTTAGGTTAAAACCAAACAAACTGTGGAGATGCCCTGTAGCAGGTAATGTAAGGAAGAAATTTAGTGTACAACACCCAAAAAAATCCTGAGTTGGGATATTTGAAACAGAAGTCTCTGAACAAGGTTTCCTGGCTTGTTTTTTCAAGGCGTTAACAAACACTATTACCTCCTAAGAGTCCCATAAAGGATCATGTTTTTAAATGACACACTGCATAACAGAGAACGATACGGCTGACAGGTAAAAACAACGCTACAGAAAGAAAACCCTTAGTTCTCCATATTTTTAAGTGTGGGGTGCCCTGTGAAGCACAAAGGAGAGGGCAGGTTTCTAGGTCCATTCCATATATCCATCCCATGCTCCTCAGCTTCTTTTGGTAGAACTCATTAGTTTCAAGAGTACCAAAAGCAGCTTATTCAGTATAGCACAGTGGTTACTAGGGCTGCTAACCTTTTAACTTTAGGAATCGCAGAAGAGCACCCTTTTTGTGTTCTGTAACATGAAGCCAAGCAGTTTTCCAGAACAATATATTTACAGCATGAATAAAAGGATTGATCTAAAAATAAAACCACCACTTTTATGAAGGATCAGGCTATTTAGATCTCTTTCTTTACTAGAACTTCCTTCCTCGTCAGTTTCTTACAATTCCTTCACTTTCACGTCCCCTCCAATAACCCTGTATAAGTCGGGATCTTTCCTCACCTACAGCATGTAAGTTCCCCATGCACTTTTTAAAACCTGGGATGGCAACTAGGATTTTAACACATGACTAATTGCTCTGAGACCTCTTTTAACTGTATTTAGTCAGGAAGTTCAGATGACAGCTTCCTAGAGGCTTTCACAGAATGACAAAAGAGTTGAGGTTGGAAAGGACCTCTGGAGGGCACCCGGTCCAACCCTCCTGCACAGGCAGGGTGCGAGCTTTCAGAAAACAGTTAAGGGCACCTGGTATCAACCCTGCCCAATTCCACATGCCTCCTCCACAGTAAGTAAATAACTTTTCAGCTAAATTACATTTTCCCATCCCTGAAACTAGGAGATGCACAGTGGTGGAACTACTTCATTTTCTTTGGATGGGAAGTTAACTAACAATTACGCCTGTACATCACATCCACACCCCATTGCTCCAGGACTGTGTAACTACAGTGATTTGAACATATGTTTGGAAGCATAAATGCTTTTAATTTGTTTTTTTAATCCTTCTTTTATCCTTCCTTTCTACCCTTCTTTGTTAAACCCGCTACATTTGCCTCTTCACAAAGCACTACAGCTTTTGGCTTCAGCACAGGAAGGGAATCATACCTTTTGCAAGAAGCAAAAATACAAACTGCCTACTTGGTGTTACCATCTGCTTGCCCCAACCAGAAAAAAAGATATTCTTGACCTAATATAACACTTTGCATCGACTAGAATCAATGAGACTTAAGCAGTATTAAAATGTAATATGCAGAAACAATAACTATCTAAGGCAGAAGATACTGGATTATTCAATAACTCATTTCAAAGACATTGTTTCACTCCGCTTTAGTGAGGCAGAGCCCATTTCTTTAAAGCAGATAGTGTCCTATGCCATGCATAAGTGGTGCCCTGCTCAGAACCTTCCCACCTCCTGCCCAAAGACTCCCCTACAGGTGCCTGTTGATTGTCTGCACAACTGCGCAGACAAAACTACTGACATTTTAAAAGGACTGTATTAATTAAGCATTGTAATTGAAAGAACAAAGACTCTCAGTGATGCTTCCCACCTAAGGAACTAGAAAAATACCCTATCACACGCCAAATCAACGTAACTTTTCAGATGAGGAACAGAGTCTACACTTGGTTTCCTCTCCCCAAATCCAACAATATCTGCCAGCTTTGCAGCAGACCTTAACAATCAGGATACTCCATGTCTTTCACTACCAAGACAACCAAAGCACACGACAGTGAGACATAGCACGACTGACATCAATGTAAAACACACACCTCAGCACTACAGCCCTGCACAGTTCTTACTATCACCTTTGTGTCATGCTTTGGGAAGATTACAATTTTAAATAAAACTGAAGGATTTAGACAAACACTTTATTAGTTAACTTTGGTAGAGAATAGAAGAGAAACTATTATTCCATAATTGCTACTGAATGGAAAATATAAAATTGCACATGGAGTCTACTATTAAAAGTAAAGAGTAGTGTAATGTCTGATAGTAAGGTTGAAAGAAAGAAAACTGTAAGACAGACATAACATTCCCAGACCCCATCCCTCTCTCAATCTGTCTGCTCAAACAAGAGCAGGAGCAGACAATGAAACTCTTCACTCCTCCCATTCTAGGACAGCAATGAAAACTGTCGAACTCATGAGCCTTAATGTTCCCTAATCGACAGGGGCTGGGAATACAAATGATATTTGCCTAAGGCTGGTCCAGCAGAGCATGCTTTTTGACTGTCATATCCAGTTAAGAAAAGCAATATGCTTAAAATGGAGCTTGTCGATTTTTGACTAACAAATGTGATCTGGTCAAATTTTTAACTGACTCAACCTGTAACTGTAATATTTGAAATCTACAGTTTGTCTGTGCATTAGCTATTTTCTTCTTAAAATGATAAACAGTAAACCAGATTGCCAGATACAACCAAATCCAAAAAAAGCATTCATCAGTGACTCAATGCAGCTAGTTTGGACTACTACAATACAGAATTTGATACTGCCTCCCACACTCAAGTTGAGGGAGGTTTAACGCAGATCTCACTGGCTTGGTGAGGATGGCTGAGTCCTCACCTTCTGCTCACTTCATAGAGGTGCCACTACTGAACATGAACTGCAGCGATTCCATGTACTGGCTCAATAACACTGACAATGGGCAAACAGATTAGTCAAATAATTAGGTTTTGCATCAGGTGGTCATGTTCAGTCTGGTGTTCAGCCTGTAGCTCGCACGAACAACAGCACTTTGATTTTATTTTCCTTTCTGAAAATTAAAAAGCAAGACAACAAAACACCACTCAGCACCGTATTTCTGGTGCTACTGCAGTTCAAGCTTTAGCATATTACCAATGTTGAAGTATTTATTCTACAGCAGAAATTCAAGCTTGCTGTGCTGCAATAAAGAAAGAAAATAAAACCAAATCAGATCCTTTTCCAGCTTTCAAGAACAAAACACCCGGGAAAGAGCTGAGATAATTTCAATGAATGATGGATTCACTAGTTGTTTGCTTTCTTCCTGCCCCTGTATGGTGATTAGACTTACACTGTCAAAGTTTTTAGCATGCTAATTGGAGCACATACTAATCCAATTATGATGCTACAGGATTTTCTTAAAATTCCTGGGAGTTGTATTGGTCATGGATAGATGACTAAATAATTGGGACTCTTTTTTCCCCCCTTTTATTTTACTGAGAAAGCATGGAAGTGACATTTCAGTTGTGACATTTGTTTTGCTTTATTCTTCCAGTGAAGAGCAATGACAAAGGTCACTCTCTCAATGAGTATTTGAAGAGGCACGAAGTTCGTGCTTTCATTTATTAACTTTAATACAGTTGTGAGAGTATATGCTGCATTTACACTGTTGTCCAGCAAGTCATTTTGTCTTTGTTTTAAGCCATAAAAGCTTAAGCTCATCCTTCCGCAACATTTCAAAAGTCACCTCAAGTTATCATTAGTTTATCCACTTTTTGCTTCACCTTCTTGCCCTACCATCCCCGCTACAGGACCTAATTGTTTTTTTTTAGCTATCTCTAAATTAATCACCGAATCACGGAAAAGTTTTTAGTTGATTTCACATTTATTTTATTACCACAGAGTTGGCATTTCACTCTGCAAACATTTCACATTTCCTCTGTTTTGACCGTGGAACAGCCTTATGGTAGATCATATGACGGGGAAACTCCGCAGGCACTATGCTGCTATTATAAAGTGTACTTTCATGCCTATCTTTTTTGAGTGAGACTCTCTTGATGCAGTGAATACTGCAGCCTCTCCCTTCCTCTTGCATGTTCTGGAGTGACTGGTCCCTAACTCCCAGTGCCTTTACTGGTGGATTAAATAAAGGTTTTCAGGTTCCCTGCCTCATCAAATTCTCCAGGTGTGATTCTGCATTGCTTTGAAAAGGGAATTTTCCAGACCGATGTTTAAAGGATACACAGCTGAAAACCTAAAAAGGAGGAGGCATTAAACTACCTACATACTTCTTCATTAATGCAAATCAGCTACACCTGGCATACAGTCACGGGGTGGAAGGCTGCAGTGGTGGATGTGTTAGATACCTACGGAGAAACATCAAGTGCAAGTTGACTATGGATCTCACGGTGTGCACAACACGACCAACACATTTGAAAGGCTGATTTCATGTAAGAGTGAGTTTAAATTGTGTTTTAAGACACCATGAGAGAACATGAGGGAAGTCAGGTTTTTACTAAAACATTATCTACCTACTGAAAATACAGCTTCTGCAAGCATGTGTACACTCAACAAGCAAAGCATACCCGTATGCCTGCTTGGAGGTATCTTCTCCCACTGCCAGATACAGAGTTCAAACATGATACACCTGAAAATATTTTTACTGCTTCAAACTTAAAAGAAGCTGTGGAATAAAACAGAAGCCACAGGACAGGCTTACAAACACAGTAAGTTAGGCTGTACAAGTCACTCACAGGCTTATCTGCCCCTATGTTCTGGTAATTTTTATTCCCTACAAACAAGAGGCATATGTTTCACTTAGAAAAAGTGTTCTGGCCCCATTTTGAAAAGCTCTGCTCAGATCTGCAAGGTCTCCGTCACCTCAGCATCCAAGTCCCATCATCAAAAGCTACTTAGGGACAACTCTGAAAAGCATTTGATTCTACAAAATGCTTTTGGAAGTCAGACAAGGCAGATAATTCCCTTTAGGAAGACAGACTCTGATCACATTTGAAAATGGGATTTTACACCAGTTTGTTTTAATAAGTGGTGTAAACATCCCTTTTCAAGGCACAGGGGCTTTCTCTGGGAAAGCTTAAGCCACCGTGTAACAACTGTTAGAGAACTAAATTACAGCATTTCCCTCTTACAAACAGCAATGACCGAAAAGCAGCCAAGAACTTTATTATGTGTTTTGTCAATGAAGAAGAATACCTGCCATGAGAACCAACCCCCTCGGGTGCAGAGACACCGTCCGGGCTCTGGGAGCAGGGGACAGTCCCCGCGGAGAAGAGAAGGCCCTCCCCAGCCCCTGGGCACTACATGGCTGCCTATTTCCAGCAAGACAACCTCTCTCTGCTTTTTTCAGGGAAGCAAGAGGAAAACCCACCCCAGGGAGAGCCCACAGCCCCCCACCCGGCCAGGGCCTCGACGTGGGAGGGGAGAACTGGCCCCGGCCTGAGCCCCTGCTCGCCCCCAGCCCCCTGGAGCTCACCTTCCACCAGCTCATCCAGGCTGGTGAGCTTCTTGCTGCCATCGATGGTGTAGATGGTGCGGACCCCCTGGGGCAGGTTCACGTTATCCGACAAGGACCGGGTGAGCTCGACCAAGAGGGCATCGAAGGAGCGGAAGCGATCGGTGGAGATGGCGTACACCAAGCCCTTGAAGTACCTGTCCCCGTTACGGTA